TCAAAATGTAGCTTTTAAAGACAAGAATCTGAAAATGTATTAGGTCATTTTGACCTAATTTGACTTAATCCTCATTTCCATATGATGGCTCACATTTATATCCAGCAAAAACAGTTTAAACATCATGAAGTTGAATCAGAAAGTAAACAAAATGTACAAAATGGCGTCATTGAAAATCTGTAAATACAACTAATATGTGAGGGAAAAAATATTGACATTATTTTATAAAGCAGGTCAAAGCAGATACCTAAATATGTTATAAAGTGTGTTGAAAGTTTTTTATTGATTCTGAGTGAATCTGATCCAACTGAAGTCAATATAATTATCATTATTTTATATAATATATATGGTGACAAATAAATGTTTGGATAATTTTTCAAAAGAACAAACATTTAATAACAAGTGTTTTCAGGCAGGTTAGAAAAAATAAATAACTTTTTTAATAAAAACTTCAGATTTGTTAACATTTATTAACAGAACCATCATGGTCTGTCCTGTGCAGAATGACTAAACATTAAATTATTTCTTTATTAAAACCTCTGTAACTTTGCTCCAGTTCATTTTAGCAGCATGAATCTTTGCACAGGTGATGTTCACAGGTGGGTTTTTAGTCTGATTCATTATGGTTTTAAATGGTTATATACTGTTTAATGAAAACATTATTCAGGTGAGAGGGAAAAAATAATAATTATGTTTCATGTTTAATATGTCTCAAACCACAGCAGCTGTTTAAATACTGACACTTCTGATGAAACCTCCCAGGTTTTAACTTTATTTTGATACTAAGATTATTTAAGTAAAGTTTTTAAAAGCTGAGATACTCAGTTATATTTCAGCATTTTGAGAAAAAACTTTATGAAAACCACTTGGGGCTTCAGGGGTTAACTCGTACAACTTATCAGCTTTAAATCTTTATAAATATCAGGTTTTGTAAGAAATATATTTCTCTGTTTGTATTTTATAGAGGGAGGGGGAACTTTGGGACCCCTCAGTTCTTTCCTGGTTATAATAAATGTTTTGTTTTTCTATTAAAACCACTGCCTGCACGCAGAGGTTTGTTACAGAACAAACTCTTTATTTCATCTTGAGCCTGATGTTCACCTGCTGCTGTTAAACTGATGATAAATGTTTTTTACAAACTAATAAAGTTGTTTTCCTGTGTGCTGCTGGTCTAAAACTGWAGTTAAAATATGACAAACATTTGTTATAAAACTGTTTAAACAGAAAAACAACACGACTGTAGATTAAATTTTTGTTTTCCTAAAGTAAAGATTAAAGCTCAGAGATCTGAGCTTCTGTTACCATAAAAGATCCTCAGGGTCTCCAGGGCCAGGAAGAGCAGCAGCAGGACCACGTCCAGAACCAGAGTATCTGACGGGTACGGCAGTAAAATCCCTGTGACACAAACCAGACTTTAATGAGTCCTGCAGGGTCTGCTGAGGCTGCTGGGTCCAGGTCTGTGGGGGGGCTGTTCAGCAGGCACCACAACACCTGGCATTTCAAAATAAAACATGCAGACACCTTTGTAGACGAACATGAGGACCTCTGCCAGGTAGAAGGCTGCGAAGTACCAGCTGTTCAGGTAGAAGAGCACCTGCAGAGGAGCCGACGAGAGCTGGACAGAGGGTCAAGGACCACCACACAGGTGAGAGCAGGAGCTGCAGCTTCAGGTCAGGTTCTTATGAAGGATACGATTGGTTGATTCCCTAAAGACAAACAGGAAAAAACACGTTTTATTTTCAAAAAATATCAAAGTTACTGAATAAAAACCAACAAAACTGATGCACTTTTTAAAACAGATTTCAATAATTAGATCAGGCTGCTTGGAAAGAAAACTAGAGCGTTGTATTTCCTGAGAAAATGTGTGTGAATGCCTGCTGCTGAAAATGTTTCATAGAAAAAGTTTTATTATTAATATTATAAGTAAAACTTGGAAATCTGAAAGAAGCACAAAAACAAAATAGCAGAAATAAGAATTTTAGCTGAAATAGCAGAAAAAAGCTAAAATTAGCACAAGGAAGCTCAAAAGAGCAGAAGAAAATGTGAGGTGCTGTAAAGTTTTATGTTGAAAACAGCTCCAATCATTTTCAGTGGAAAAAAAGAAAAGAGCTGAAAAAGTAAAAGTCAGCAGCTGTCACATGATGAGCTGAACGTTTTCATMAATTAACTGTTGAAACAGCAGAAAACCTGGAAGGATAAAGGGTCAAAAATCATGACGTCATGATGTGAATGTTGTTATCAGGCTGTGATTCACATTTAAAATAAATATCCATTTATTTAGTTTTACTTGTAAAAAAAAAAAAGCACACCCTTTACACCCTAAGCTCTAATGCTTTACGTAAAACAAAGTTATAACTGTTTTCCTGTGCTGTAATAAAAGTGTTTTAAACGTTATTTGTGTCGATAAGGAAAATGATCATTTAACGGATGTTAGCTGCAGCTAGCTAAAGAACGTTTAGCTGTTTTTTTCTTCTTCTTCTGTTTGATCCTGATCTTTGTCCAAACGCTGCGGTGGTTCCGGTTCAACCACCGGCGCCACACCGGACAAAAAGCCCGTTAATCTGGAAGAAACAGCAGTGAGAAACTCACCGGACGCCATGTTTGATTCTCTCCGGTTGCTATGGAAAATCAAGGACGTACAGCACGTAGGCGTAGCGTGACGGAACGTGTCACACGTGACGTTAGTCGCCATGTTGGAGAGGGAGTTTTCCAATGAAAACATTGTACAAAACAAGTTAGGGAAGTGCAGTTTCACATTTCATGAATGAAAGTGGTGAGGTATTACCGTTTAACGACTTTAGTTTAAAAGTTAATATTGATCTTGATGTTAAGACTCACAACAAACTGATAAAATCTATACTAACTCTTAAATCTATGATCAATGARGATGTGCTTTATTCTAAAACTTTTCCTGTTCTGAGTCAACTTTGTGTAGAAAACATGAAGTTTAATGATAAAAAWGACTAAAACTCATGAGAAGAGTTTTGCAGAAAGATTTGTTCCCAGGTCAGGTCAAACAGAAATATATTCTTCAGGAGTTTAGAATAGATAGTCTAAAATTAGGACAAAATATTTATCTTTTCCTCCTAAAGTTAAGGAAGTCCATTTTAAATTATAAATGATATTTATCTAACTGATGCTTTCATTAGATCTAGATTTAAATCTGACTCTGCTGGATGTTCATTGTGTGATGATGAAGAGGATATAAATCATCTTTTTTTCACTGTAAAACCACTCAACAGTTCTGGACAGATATATGGAGCTGGCTCCAAGAAAGAGGAAAACAACTTCCACCTTTAACTATTGCATTAATAACATTTGGTTTTTACAGTCATAAATCTGAAATAGACTTTCTAATTAATTATATGGTAATGTTGGGAAAGTTAACACCAGGGACCAAACTGTCCATAAAATAAAGAACATTTTTAGATGTAAAAGGAGGTATTTTGGAGATTTTAAATGAGACCAACTRTAATCAGAGCAGAAAATACTAACATGTTGACAGATTAGATGATTGTTTCTATTTCAGAGGAACAAAAAACACACGGATCAGAGTCAAATTTAAATATTTATGTAGGAAATCTCCCACAGGATAAATGCAAGATTTAATTTTAAGGTGGGTTTATTTGACTTTTGGTGGAACTGGATATTAGAGGGAGTTAGGATGATTGAAGCTTACAGTGACTGTTTACTGGTTTGTTATTACAGTAAAAAAACATMTTGTGAGTTTTTTACTAATTATGTGCTGCTCCAACACTAAGAAACATCTTTTTCTGCCACTAAATACCATGATAAATTATTTAACACCAAGTAGAATGTATGTTTCAAAAAATTAAAATAAATCAAACTTTACTTACAACAAACCTCCGCTTTTGTGAAAAATTATGCTTGTTTATAAAATGCATAAAATTGCTGAAATCACCATATTTCCTTAAGCCACATATCAAATATATGTTTCACAAATCACACAGTTGGTTTAAACATTCTGTAATCTGTGTAGAATAATCCAGTCCAGGTTTTAAGTCTCCATGTGTTTTAGTTTTTAAACTAGAGCGGATTAAAGAAGCTCAAAGTGGTGAAAACAGCTGGAATCACCCTTTATTCCTGAAAACTTCAGAGTTTTTTTCTCATAAATTTACCAGTTTTTTCTTGTAAATTTCTGACTTTACCATGTCAGAAAATATCTAATTTAAATGTCGCAAATTTCTGCTTTTAATTGCGGAAATGTCTGAGTTTTTTTCTCGCAAATTTGCGACTTTTCAAAATAAGAGAAT